AAGCGAGTAGATATCGTAAAGTCGTCGAAGACACTCAACTCCCGAGACGTCGCGTGCTTGTTGAAAATCGAACTCGGAGTAAAAAAAAAAAGATTTCGTTCTCTTTCTCTTTTCTTTTTTTTTTATTTTTATTCCAACTTGGAATAATTTGGAAAAGCGACAATCTCGAGAAAGAAAAATAAAACTTGGAATATTCTAATTGGCACTTCTCCCGCTCTCGAAAGCATATTAAATCACGGTTTTTGTATATTTTAAATCCACATGCGACATGTTCGAAAAGTTCGATAATTATACCGCGCGGGAAATTGCGGCGGAGAGAAGTCGCGCGCGAGTTTATGTGTACTCAACTTCGACAGCTCGAACTTTTTCTCCCGAACTTGATCTTTTACGTTAGCTTTAGTTTCACCGACTGAGAAACTTCAAAAAACTGAAAAAGCCAATTATAAATTTATGAGAGACATGCTGCCGCACGAAAAAAAGAAGGAGAGAGAAAACGTTTCTTTACATTCCGCGCGTTGCATACGAAAGAAAACATCAAGTAGCTTGCGGAGTTATCTTGAACGATGTCGCGATGTAACGTCGCGCGCGGTTGATGCAAAGCGCGCGCCGTGTCGTCTAGGGATAATCTAGCCACTAGTCACGTGGGATCATCCTCTACCGCTTTAAAAATATATCTGGGTCATCCAAGAAACGTCTTGTCGCGTTTCTCGGAGGGTAAGCCGCGCGCGCGCTCTTCCCCGGACAGAAGTTTATATACCGAAAAAGCGTACCGCGAGACGCGGCCTCTTAACAATTTCGCAGCCGTGAGAAATAAATCACTGTCAGCGTGATAAATATGTTACCTAATATTAAAAAAACAAAAAAACACACAAAAAAAAAACAACAACACGCGAGAAACTATGACCACTATGTGCGTAAGCATATTTTACGCCGATAAATTGCTCATCGATGTTGGACGCAGACAAACTACGCGTATCAACAACGATATTAGCAGGTTTTGAGACGACTGGAGGACCATTTATCAAAACGTAGAAATTTCTGATACAGCATTCGCGGTACTTGAAATAGCTTTTACGAGAATTAATGACTGAGCTTGTCTAATGGACATTATGCCGACCGATGTATGTGTATATATGCAAATTTAAAAGAGAAAGCGCGGAAACGATTTACGTCACCCACGAAAGTTACGAGAAGAATGAACGGTACGCGCACGCGCGCGCGCGCGCGTGTGTGTGTTACAATTTTGTAGGCAAAATTCTGAAAGGAAACAGATATGAATATTTTAATATTCCGATGTTATTTTGAAAATGATTCATGGCGCGTACCAAAAACAGACGAACAAAAGCGAAAATACCGGTTGGGAATGCACTTAACAGGTTCCCAGAAAAGAACTCCACGGCGACCACGGGGCTCTCCGTCTTTCTTTCTTTCTCCGAGGAGAAAAAAATGGGCGCGTAACGGCGGCGCCCGTGGTCGCTTATGGCCGAGCAAGGTACTTGACTATTGTGCGTAAGCTCCCATTATAACGCGGTAAGCTATGCATTATACGCGATAGTCCGGATCGAGAAGCCGTGTCCGCCTGTCTCCGCGGCGTGCGTGCCCGTATGAAGAGAAAAGAAGGTGGAGAGGGAAACCTCCGGGTGGCGATCTCCGGGACCTATTTATATTGCGTCTGGTAGCCGGAGAGAGAGAGAGAAAGAGAGAGACATAAATATATATGAGACGAGAGGAGGAGACGGGTCACAAGCCGCCGCAAAAACAACAAAGGGGCGCGAGAGACAGCTACTTGGCGAATCTAGTTACCGAGAAAGGCGAAGCGCTTGTGACGCGCTTAAAACGCGGACGGGAAGAGGAAGCGCGACACGGCACGGAGAGAGATCCTCGTGTGTCACTTCGCATCTCCGCTTTTTCAACCAGAAAAATAATTGAATGTTTCTTTAGTGTCAAAAATTTGTCGGATAAAATTCATTCACATTTTTCTTCCATCGCTACGTGTGTGTGTGTGTGAGTCGAGTCGTATTTTTCCACCGCATTAATTTTTTATATAGCGACGACGCGTGAGAAACCGATTTATCCGCGAATTTACCTGTTGTTTTAGAATAATGAGGATTCAGAAAAAAAAAAAAAAAACAATTAGCGATTCGCGCGCAGAGTAACGGAAAAACGGAGAGAATCGCTAAAAGCGGTATCAAGTACGATATTTTTCTTTTCTCATCAGATACGGGGAGAATGTATTCCCTCCCCTCCCCCTCCTCTGGCATTGTGACGTTCGCATAATTACACACAGATGCGGCAACATAGCGCGGGAATTTTATTGCGACACGGTATCGATATCCTGGAGATTCCGGGGGGGAGGCTTCGCGAGATAGAACATAGCCCCCCGCGCGCGCGTTACGTTCCGGTCCGCTCCCTGCTAAGCACTTCCATTACGGCTGCATATTTAACGTGCGCTGTCGCATAAATGCACGTTACGGATAGCTGCGCGTATTACAATAAGCAATTAACGAGCGATATCGTGTTCTATAAATTACGATGCTCGGACACATCGGCGTAACCGATGCTCGCGAAACGTGAAACGCGCACGGGGGCCGGACCGTGCAACACTAATATATATGTATATACATAGAGTACACGGCGGTTACTATACGAACTCGAAATAACGAGCCTACGGAAAAGGGAATAACACGAATGCAAACGCACGCGCGCGCGCGCGCGATCGCAATTCGCGCTCCGCATTATCGGGATTCTCCATTATCGTTCTTAATCTTTCGCAATACGATGCGCGCGCAATTACAAATTTTATCTCTTGTTTTTTGTTTTTCGACTATTGTAAACACACACGCGAGCGCGCAAAAATATTCGACCACAATTACGATCGCAATACAAATAAACACGGATTTCGAGCGAAATTCGTGGGAATCTACGGGAAAACACGTGACGCTCTATTATAACGTTCAATATCGTGACATCGGACTCGTCCGAGCACGCACAGATGTGTTTCTCTCACATTCGTCCGTTTCCGGAGAGAGAAACGCTACATTGACTCCCGGGGCACTAATTCAATTTTGTACGGCATCTTTTTCTCGAGATCATAATCGGGATTAGGCCCGGGCGTTAGAGCGAGGCGAGGAGGATGATGTCGCGAGAAGGGGTCCGCCGCACAATGAGAAAAGCGAGGGGGGGAACTCTCGATGTGTGTGTATGCACACATAATGCGCGTGTGCACGCGCGCGACAGACGAGAAGAGTGCATTCTTCGTACATAGAGAGCCAAAGGCGTCGATGTCGCATCGTCAGCCTTCGGTGTAGAGGCTGCGAACGCGAGGCGAGACGAGCGAATCGGTCGTTACCAACCAGCAAGCAAGCAGAAGCAAGGCAAGCAAGCAAGCAAGCAAGCAGGCTGGCAGGCGGACGGGCGAGCATACACCACGGACGGGCAGAGGCGAGGGTGCGTCGCCCGGGATATCGATCGCCTCTAAACAAACATGGCTCGTTTTAGTCGAAGGAGTCGACTTCTATCCCGTATAAATCACGGTTATTCCTTCCTGCGCGCCGTATATACGGGGTGTCCACTTTCGACCGAAGTGACATATACACCGTTCGCGACTGGGTTGTATACTTTTCTCGGTGAGAAGATAATGAGACAAGGGTATAGAGAGTCCCGTTTCGAAGAGCTCTCTCTCTCTCTCTCTTTCTTTCTCGAAAAAACAAATCCACGCGAGTGCCGTCGTCGAGAGAAAGAAAGAGACGACGTCTCGCGGACGCAACGAGTTTTGCGAGATTTTTAGAAGTAGTTTCTCACTCACGTAGAAAATGGTTACACCGTCTGAGAAAATAGATTAATTATGTACACAAGCCAAGACGTTGAACGTCTTCGTTATTCTGGTCAAGAAAGTGGCGTCAAGTAACACGCCATATAATTAATCTCCATTATTTCAATATATATATATATATATATTTTATACAAAAAAGCAGAAGAAAAATGTATATATGAGATTATCAAAACAAAAAAAAAAAAAAAGAGACTATGATGAATGGCACTTCGAGATAAGCGCGAGTACACCGTAAAATTATGAGGTCGTACATATACAATTTCAAATTTACCGTAAAACAAAAATTTTTTTCTGCGCGCTTATTGTCTGTGTGGCTTTGCACATATTTTTCTTTTGTGTGTGGGTGTGTGCGTTGTGTTTGATAAATCGTGTTTATGCATCGGCGACTCGTTGAATCAATTCGTTCGTTCACAATTAACTTGATAGCGCATAAATCAACAGTGAATAAGTATTCGCGCACAACAAAGACCGTACATATATATGTATATGTATATATAATATATATATATATATATATCATCACAATCGAACGATTACAAACGCTTTGTTTCGCGCACCTGTAAACACGCGCGCGGAAGAAATAAATTACACCGATTTCGTGTCCGTTGCGATTTTCCATGTGAAAACAAAAAAAAAAGAGAGAAACAAAAGACCCGGAGAAGTATCTTATCGACCCGATACCCGGTACAAGATTACGCTAATCGACAGCTGCGCCGAGGAATAATTACAGAGGCGACGCGGACAACGCTTAATCGTATCGCGACAATGGCTAATCCATACTGCAGCGATTCACGCGAGACGGCAACTAAGCAAAAGACCCGGGAGAGCGAAAGAGAGAAAAAAGGAGAGCGAGAAAGCGAACAAACACTCGCTTATCCACGAGCCCTCATCTCGACTGTCGCTTTTTCACGCGAGCATCGCCGTTTGATCGCGATGTAAACCCGACACCGACCGGCAGGCGTGGAATTCTTTCGGGCGAGAAGCCCCCGTTTCACGGGGATTCGTTCCGAGTTTAACGAGCGGCATCTCCTCGGGGTGACGCCGCTCGGTATAATCCGCGCGTAACAAAAAAAAAACAGATGAAGAAAGAAGAAGAAGAAGAAGAAGAGTACGCGCGTCGGACTACGACGCGAATCAAGGCGCTGCCGCTTCAACTACTAAAACTTACCTGCGACTGTGAGAGTGGCGTTTCTGCTCGGCACCGATCCCGCCTTGTTCCGCGCGACGCACCAATACACACCGCCATCTTGCTCCTTTTTGCCGTGCATCACCCGCAGAAAGAACAGGGATCCCGTAGGCAGCAGGACCCGATGCGACTTGGCGTCGCCCGGCGACGTCTGCACAAGCTCACCGTCCTTGTACCACTCTATCACCGGTTCGGGTTTGCCCTCCGCCTTGCAGTTCAACGTCACCGGCTCATTTTTCGCGACTATTATGTCGGACGGGTGCTCGGTTATCCGCGGACATTTCAGCTGCCCTGCAAGCAAAAAGAAAATTGAGGAGAGGCTCTTTAGCAAAGGTAACTTCCTTCTTTTCCTTTCCTCTCAACACGCTGCGCGTGTCGCGTCGCTTTGGCGATCTAATTAGTTCAGCCCCTTCAAGACCAGAGAGATATTTTCGCCCGCGACGAAGACGACGAAGACCACGACGACGACGAAACCGCAGGGCGCGCGCGCGCGTCCAATTCCGCGCGATTAATTCGTCTTAAGCAGAGAAATAGATAGGCGGGGGGGGGGGAGGTGAGCGGAAAGAGAGGGAGAGCGAGAGTAAAAGCTAATTATTTAGCACACTCGTGCAAAAGTTTTGCGCTTCGGTGTGCCTTTATAACGAATTAAAGTTTCACTTCGCAATTAAGTTAAGAGAAGAAAGGGGCTTCGGTAAGACATAAATCTTGAATTTATATCTTCAAGGGAGATAAATATTATTAAGTTAACGCCGTAATAATTGATGGAATTTTTTATCGAGGTAAATTACGTAGCTACGTCAATTTTCGCCGGATTGTTTCGTGTTTGCTCGCGCGCATCCTTGCGTTTGCGCGAGAGACACCGCCGTCGTCATCGTCTTCGTCGACGTTGTAACGTTGTAAGACCCCACCATCGTGCAAATTTATTGGCACGACGACGATATTAATCTCTCGCGTCGGAGAGTTGCCGTCTTGCCAATATTAATATCACGAAGCCGCTTGTTTTATGCACTCAACGCGATATATCGAGCGCTTTTCTTCGCGCGGGCCGTGAATTTTTCACTCGCGATCTTCTCGCGCATCGACTATACCGTCCTGTCTTATGTACTTTCTCAATTTTGTAAGCGGACGCAACACACAGAATTCGCTCGCTCGTGCGCGCGCGCGCGCGCGCGGATCTCCGTTGTAATTTTGTAACATTTCGTCGTAAACCCCAGTCGGTAAACGAAAATTAAATCCGCCTTGATTTTTAAGCGCCCAAGTCCCATAAAATTTTCAACGCGTAACGCTCGTTGCGCATACAGTATAAACAGAGAAATTATGCGGGACAATGGTGGGAAAGAGGTGGCCGCGCGCGTTTGCGTTTGCGCGGTAAAAAATATGTTAATGCGACCGCGGGTAATTCGTAAACCAGCGCGACGATATTAAATCCACGTTAAACTCAATTCGACATGTTTACGAGTCACCGCAATTAGCGGCTATATAGAATCGTATTACTAGGAATTAATTCAAATAATGCACAGGACATTTTGCAATACACGCGCGCATATGGAGAGAGAGAGAGAGAGAGAGAGAGAGAGTAGGTGAGTTTCGCGTTTCTAGCATCAATTAATTTAAATTCAATTATTGTCGGTTTTTTATGCGTGTGTCCGAAAGGAGTGATTTATTGATGAATACGATACAACGTTGTTTTCACGCATGTGTATATAAACGTGCCCGTAAACAAATCATAAACCGATTTGCCGTGACACACTGTGTGTGTGTATGTGTGTGTGCGCGTGCGCGCGCGCGCGTCGTGCTCTCTCCGCCTCGGCTAATATTACACACTGTATCACGTTGTGACATTTCATAAATAAACCAGCGTTACGAATTATGCATCAAAATAACTCAAATAATCCGACGGTAAATAAAAACAATGAACCAACACACACGTTTGCTTTCAACTGTATTTTTGCGTCGATTAAGTGATTTGTTTAATTTTACGCATTTTCTGTCATCGGAGATTTCAGCCGATGTACGTGTTTGTACAATACATTTGTTCAAAGATTTAAATGAATAATACGCGGAGAAACGAAGAGAGAGAGAGAGAGAGATAAATAAAGAGAAAAAGATATGTAAAATGAAAATAAATAAAACTCGCAAAATAATCAAACATTTCTAACTGCTGCGCGCGATAACGGCGCGCTGCGACGTCGGTGTGTAAAAACGAACATACTTCGCTTCGTCCCGGACGATGGAGTCTCGACAGTCCGAGGAACCGGGGTTGATAATCCCGCTGCAATTTTTCGCTCGCTTTGCCCAAAGTTACCAGAGATCGCGGTATATCGCCCTCTTCGTACGTGCGTTTTGACGTGAGCGTGTGCGCGCGCGCGCGCGACACGAAAATCACGTGTGTGCGGGCGCGGGTGTCCTATTTAGATAACTGAATTATGGATGAATTATTGGCCGCCGGTGTATACGTAGTGCAGGTATATAATTTGATAATATCGCCGCCTCTGGCGTCCTATCTCTGTACCACGAGATTTCGGCTCTCCCGACGTGGTATATGTCGTTCGCTCGCTCGCTTGAACGTCCACATGCATTATGCGTGCGTAGCGCGCTCGCTCGCATATACGCGTATGACAAGGGGGGAAAGGAGATGGAGAGAGGAGGGGAGGCAAATGTGAGAGAGCGAAGCTGCCGCATCGTTACATCGCGTCGCGTCGCGTCGGTGTGGTGGTGGTGGTGGTGTGAGCAGGCAGGTATTAGTCATCGATAGTGGCTCGGATTACCTGTGGTTACACGCATTATTAGATAGGCGCACCCTGTGTGCCGCTGTCTAGTCAAGCATTCCTCCGCGAAGTGCCTGCTGCCTTCGCGTACATACATGTACACGCGCGTCGCAATTAAGTCGATCATCGGGAGGAAGATGTCGAACAAACGGCTGTTGTCCCGAGAAAATCAATACCCGTCAGCCGTGTACCTTCTTCTTGAGTTAAAGTACAAAAATTTTATGTATGTAAATTAGAATAAAAATATATATGGAAGATTTGATCGAATGATAAAACGTATAAATTTTTTATAATTTCTGTATTACTCATGAAGATGTGATTTAATTAACTACGGTAATGTAAAACTCTGTAAAAATTTTATATAGCTACTTTTTTTATTAAAATCTAATCGCACCAGAGCCCGGAGATTTGTCCATAAATCACGAAGGTGAGAAAAGTGCATTTAGGTTTTTCCTCGATTTCGATCCGACGAAACTCCGGTGTCAAAACTTGGATCTAGGTTTTTTTTTTTTTTTTTTAATCAAAATAAATTGAAGATTTCTAACGCTCAACTTCTTTTGTGAATTTTCGCAAAACCACTATCAGCCGGATGATTTTCACGAGCGCAAAACAAAAAAGAAACAATACACAGGTGCAGTCTGTGGTCGCTAATGCGAATAAAGAGAGGAACACAGGAGAAGGCGAGAAGTGACGAAGCAAATTACACGGGTGTACCTTCTATTAACCCGTTATAAAGCCCGTGAACATTTTGTTTTTTTTTTTTTTTTTTTTTGCAACATTTCTTTTTTATTGCCTCGCTCGAGTAAGAAATTGAGATCCTGCCGAAATCGGCAAGGTGTGCGGAAGATAAAAAAAACAAAAAAAACAAAAAGAGGCCGCTCGATAGGTAGCGCGAGAACGTGCACAAAAGTTCTTAACTCGCCGCCAGAATCAAAACCCGCTGAACTATCAATCTACTTCGTGCGTCTCTGCGATCATTTTTTTTTTTTTGTTTTTTTTTGTTTTTTACGAAAATAAAAGAAATTTTCTGCTCACAATATATATAATCGATAAATCCATGTGTGAAATTATCTTTGTTGATTTATTGCGGAACAAACATGCTCTCGACGCACAGCAATGTTGTTCAATTTATTCTTAATACAGAAGTAAATTTAAGCATACAATTTCGACGATTAGATAGCAATTTACTCGGCTTTTACGTCCCGGGTAATTACACGATCCTCCTCGCCTCCTCGTTCGGTAAGTGAACCCCCGCAAGCGAGATACGAGAGGAGGTTTGCACTGTTTGCAACTCATTATCATACCAGTTTCCACTTTTGCTATCACCAGAGCACACCGTGTGTGAAGCACGTAAAGAGAAGGCCAACCAACCAGGCGTCATATTCACTAGTCATTCGCCTGGGTTGCCATTGTGTATTCACTTAGCTTTCTCGTGCGTATATCGCACAAGGTTACCGCAAACTTTGTGTGTGTGTGTGTATGTATGTATGTATGTGCGCGCGCGTACGTATTAACCTTTCCGTATATTGTTTAAACAGACGCGAATATAAATTATTCACGTAAACCATATATATGTGTGTGTGTGCGCGCGCGCGCCCGATACACACACAAACTTGATCTATTTTTAATTCTTTCCTAGTGTGTCAACGCGTAGATATACTAAAAAAAACTCTAGATACAAATTTCTCGAAATCCAAGAAATCTCAAATTGGATAAATTATTTCTCCGATTGCGCCTCAGAAATCTAATTACGCAATTTAATAATGATCGTATTTCTCAACCGCGCGCGCGCGTGTACCTGAAGATTTAGAACTGTATTTGTAGTTACCCCGTTTCTCCTGGGAAACTCAATTGAAACTAGTCTTGAGAGATGTAACGATGTTTCGGTGAATTTCCACTTTAACGTAACTTTCTTAGGGTTTCGTACAATTTAAACGAGAACCCAAAATGTACTCCGGGGGAATGTCGAATAACGCTTCTAACATTGGTTTGACATCCGGTGGTGACGTTAGGTGCACATGCTTAATCCTTTGTTTGAATTATTCAGAAGCGCGTGTTTTGTAGTAGCTATACGTGGCGCGCCGTGAACGTTTCCAGAAAAGAAACGGAGATACTCGCTTTATATGCAAACGAAACTAAATACGTAGTACACGTGTACAGCCCTTCCCCCGTTCCGCGGGAAGGCATCGCGGACACCGAAACGACAACACGTTTCTACGTAAAAGTAATATCTCACACACGCCGATTGTTTATAAATCGTTGTATCTCGGGGAATGCTAACAGAATTGAATTTTTTCACTTATCGCGAAATAAGAACAAAAACAGCAGAAATTATTGTCTCAAATATCTCGCGCTGCAATTTTAAAAGTCAGATGCTGAGACAATTGTTTACGTTGTCCTTTGTAAACAACACAACGCGAAACAAACAAAACAAATTTCACTGCGAAACAACATATCCGGATATTCCACGAGCGCGAATTCGGTTTATTTTATAAATCCATTGCCATTTTCTATAACGCTGTA